GCGTCCTTTTTTTTCCTTTTGATTGATTGATTAATTGATTGATTGATTGATTGATAAGAGGGGGGGGTTGCCTGTGATTGATTGAATGATTGATATGAGGGGGGGGTCGCCTTTGATTGATTGATCGATTGATATGAGGGGGGGGTCGCCTCCCCCCCCTGATTACACACACACACACACACGCACGCGCATGCGGGGCAACTGTCCGTTTTTTTTTTTTATGAGTTTTTTTTTTTTTTTTTTTTTTTTTTTTTATTTATTGATTGATTGGTTGGCAGTGGGGGGTTCGCCTCCCCCGCGCGAACACACACACACAGACAGACAGACACACACACACACACACACACACGCACACGCATGCGGGGCAACTGTCCGTTTTTTTTTGCCACGAGTTTTTTTTTTTTCTTCTTTTTTTTTTTTTTACAATTTTTTCAAAGGTCAAAACCCCCATATATATATATTTTTTGGGTTTTTTTTTGCCCCCAAATCACCGTCGTACGGCCACCGTCCATACGCCCGTACGATCGTCCGTCCGTCCGTACGCACGGGCCGTACGGAGACCCCCCGTACGACGTATGAGGTACGACACTGCCACAGTGGGACGGAGGGACATGTGAGTAGCGATGGACGTACAAGCAAGATTTCTACCCTCCTTCAACTTCTGCCTACATCTTTCCCTCTTACCTCTCCTTTTTCGTTTCCCCTGCCGTTTCTTATCTCTGGTGTTCAAGTACGGGTTAATAAGGCGAATCAGATTCTTCTCTACCATCAGCAGGTCCTGCGGAAGGCATCGGCAAACAGGTATTATTACATACTGCGCAACCCCGATCCTTCGGAGTCAGGCATACAATTGATGGTTCCTCTTTCCATTCTCAATAACCTCCCCATTCAAACACCTGTATAAGTGTTCGTTCCAGCGGACTGTTAAGGATCTACCTGTAGAACCCACATACACATGTTTCGACCAAGGAGATACCAACAAATACACCCACGATCCTTCGCAACTTCCCAACTCCACTTCATTAGTCACAATCTCCTCCAAATAATTCTTAAGCTTCCTCGCCCATGGAATACAATCTGACAAAATCAACTTAAGCACCACCAGTCTGAAAAAACCATTAAAATCCTTTTCGCGAAGAAAGAAGTCCGCACTCTTACCATCGTTGCTCCCTCGATCGTCGTCAGACTCCTTTCCAACGGATGCATTCTGCACCCTACCCTCACGACACTTCCTACAATAAGACGCCTATTTCCACAGTAACTCCCGTTCGGGAACCGCTCCTAGAGTTCGACAGATCTTCCATCCTCCGATACGGAGGCTTCTTCATCTGCAGGAGAGTCGTCCGACACTTCGTGAACCGGTTCGTCACTCACATTGTCCTTGCTACCGTTCGTTTCCTTACCTAAAGCTTTATCAGCCCTGTACTCAGCAATGTCAACAATTATTAAGTCAACAGCCCGAAGTTTGAGACCAGCTTCATGATAAATCATTTCCAATCCCGACTTCTTGTAATTTATCAAATCCTTCTTCTGCGCTTCAATGAAGTGGAAACGTTCGTTGACATTCCCCGACGCCTCTGCGCTACCTCCCACGTCTCTTCGAGGACTGACTTTCAAGCCTTTCCTTCCAGACCGGTTAGCAACCGCCTCCAACCTTGTTTTCAAGTTCGTTCCCCCACCCTCACGCCGCTTCACGGACTCCTCCGAAGGCAGTTTGTTGAATTGCTCCTTGAGTTTAATGACCTCCCCTTCTGCAACGACACGCTTCCCTTTGAGTACCTCAGCTTCGCGACCAGCCACGCGGTGCATTTCCTTCATCTTCGCGTTGTACGGCCAAACCCCGGTAGACTTTCGAGCCTAAGACGACCCCACTGCGGGTCCCAGTTGGCTCGGCCCGCCCACACTCATGCTCAGGGCGCGGGCCATTCGTCCCAGGGTCACCCCCACCTAGTGCTTTGACATGGATGGGGGTGGGCCATCGCGCGAGAAAGCTTTAACATTGGGGATGTAGCTCAGCCCTCACGTCGGGTGGTAGTCTCGCTGGTCATTCCGTAGCGCTGATTTTTTTTTATTCTTTGTTGTGTTCTCAAGCAATTGCGCTTTCCAATACTCGGGCAGTCCAAGGATTCTTTGAGAGTTCTCTTCTCTTGTGCGCAGGCTAAGCGTCATCATTAGGCCGCGCACCATTTCCCTAAGCATTGCAACTCTACGACATCATCGGGGCGCGGCGAAACCGTCCTACCCCTCGCCCCTATATGCCCATCGGCCCTTATGCATCTCATTTGACCCCGTTCACGCAGACCCCTTAGTCTTTTCGGGGCTTCTACATGCATGCACATTCAACCTCACACTTCCCTTAGCAAGATTGCACTTCATTCACTTATTCACACCCCAAATCTCAAACGCAAAGGTCATTTCGGAACTTCTACATGCATGCTCATTTGACCCCGTTCACGCACGCCCCTTTGCCCCTTTTCCCTTTTCCTTTTTGATGTCTGGTTCCTCCCGGCCCTATCCCGCTCAAGGCATCCTTAGCCTTCATTTACCTGCACAATCCCACACAAAGCAAAAATTCATACAATCCCCCGTTGGGGGTCAACACATAGCCCTTCCCACATGCGTATCTTTTCCTGCTCTTTGGCTGCTCTTTGTTCCCTTTCTCTGCTCAACCAGCCCATCATCTTCTCATAGTCATGCAGTCGGGGAAATGGTTGAGTCAAACTGACCTCACTGCAACTTATGCTCCCTTTCCGGATTCTGCCTCTTTCCCACTCTTTTTCGAACGACCTTTCCTTTGCCTTCTTGGTGGCACAAGGGACCGGCTACCCTCCCCTTGCCCTCTTTCTCTACCATTCGCACCCTGACATTGTAACAAGTGAGGGGAGAAGAGTTAGTCATATGCCAAGTGAGGGGAGGGGAGAGAGGGGCAAGGCGAATAGGGAGAGAGAGGGAAAAGGTGGGAGAGAGAGAGGAGAGGGAGAGGGAGAGAGCTGGAGAGAGAGAGAGAGAGAGAGAGAGAGAGAGAGAGA